TAGTTAGTAGTGAGTGTGTGTGTGTGCTCGAGTGTTAGAGTGATGCGTGTGGGATATCCAGGGTGAACCAGTGTATGTGAACAGTGAGATGTTTGTGCGCTAAGGTCGCCATAGCCAATTGGGAGTGAACTCGTATCTGAAAACCATATCTCTGAGTTTTGAGTGGGCGCATGTCGCCAGTGTGCTGCGTTGCTGTTTACATGTGTGAAAAGTGTGTTTGAAAACGAGTCTGATTGCATCATGTACAGCCACCCGGAAACACAGCATGCCGAGTTCCGAGGCAAAAAGGAACGCAGCTAAACCCCAGACTGGCTAGGCAGGCTCGACCTTGGCAGGGACTGTACAATCCAAGCATCACAAAAATCAGCTGACGGTTTCTGTCTTAATGGACAGGCTGATGGCACACGGAAAAGAAACGACAGCAACAAACACGACGGCCACTGTCTCAACCGACACGCTGTAGTCACACGGAAAACAAACAGCAGCACCAAACAATACAGAGGAGCCTACTCCGGAGGCACGACATGGAAATCGTAGTCGTTATCCCCGGGACCGATGTGGACCACGCGAACCAGAATGTCTATATCCTCCTGTCTATCAATGAGCATGAGCTGGGAGCCGAAGTCATTAAAATGAAAGTGACGTTCGTCATCTACCTCCCTTAGAAGGGATGCACTGTCGAGCAGATGATGACGAATCGTGTCAACCTCTGCAATCTGCAGCTGACTGATGACCATATCATCCTCCCGTGGCGCATCATTGGCCTTCTCGAATGGTTCCGGGGGAACACTCGGCCCAACTGCGGAGGAAGACGCACCTGCACCAGGTTGAAAGAGCGTGTAGCCGCAAAAAGGACAGGAGCTGGTTGTCTGGGAGGCAAGGCGAACTTGCAAAGCTGCATACTCAATCTGCATTTTTTTATGGCCCTTCTGCAATAGTAACATCTCACGCACAATGGCATTGACAGGGTGTCTCGCATCCCCGTCCGCAGCAGCCAGCAGGTGAACCTCAACCTCTGAAGATCAAAAGGCTGCTGAACAGTTATGTCATACGTAGCGGCAACTGTTTGCTGGACGGAGGTGGCAATAATGAATTCCGCAAACTCTCTCCTCGCAGCGATCAACAGACCGTAGAGCACCTCGATTGTAGACAAAGCCTGAGGCTCAGTGACAGCGAACTTCAGCGCCGCTTGCACCTCAGCCTGGACAAAACGGTCAAAGCCCTGTAACACGTCATTGTTCGGCAATACGAACAGTGGGTACACAATGGGTGCAAGATCACCCCTCATATCGGAGATGAACAACAATCTTCTAATCTGAACGTCGAGCCGCACAACTTTCCGCTTCCACCGCGTCATGCTATCCCAAGCAACAAAGTCTGAGTGGACACTGAGATGGATTATTTTATTCCGGAGGTGGTCTATCTCTCACTGCTTGAACAAAGCCATGCTCCTGTCTAGATCCTCGTCACCTCGAGGCCCGCAAGCAGGAAGACTTTTTCCTGGGGGCAAAGCGGGAAAGTCCCCTTGACGCTGCAGTCACTTTCTTTGCGGATTGCTTGCCACTCAAGACGTGAACCACCTCCTCGTGGGACATTCTAACCTTCTGCAGCAAAAACCCCAACTGCTCATCATGCAGTCGCTGCTAATCAGCCAGCGCCCGCTGAAGGGAATCAATCTCCTACTGTTTGATATACATGAGATGCAGGAGCTCGGCAAGGGACCACCTAAGCCCATCTGCATCCCTATAGTCCTGGCCGGAAACCTGCCGCATCTCAAAATCAGACGCGCTTTTGCTCTCTAGCGGGTAGAACTTAACATCATAGTTCATATCTTGATACGTCCATGCATAGAAAGCGCTACCAGCAACAGGCTGAGGAACAGGTCCTTCCATTGTTGGGAGCGACTCCTGTGATCAGCGGACAGGGCAAAAGAGACATTAACATAGTCCATCTTAAACGCCAGGGTTCACACAGAGCGGCAGAAACTGGTAACCCAAAAAATCAGCAAAGGCAAAGCAGGCCCGGACGACAGACCCACCCAGCAGAGCGCAAGGCCCAAACAGCCACGAAAACAAAACATCGTTGCCCCCCCTCCCCCTCCCCACCAACCCCCCCAAAACAGAGCCGACCGGACCAGCCGTTCTTTGAGGGCAGAGTCAAAGAACAACAAACGACAGCAAGCCACAGGAAACGCAACAATCGCGTTGGGAGGCCACAGAGACAAGAAAAACCAACAGGCACCAAAGTGAAGGACATGGACCGGGGATACCTCCACCCAGGACAAATGGTTTTGACATTCAGCCAGTAAGAACTCTCCAACGTGCAGCTCGGAAATCGAGACGATCCCTGATCTCATCCTCGAGTTCATCGTACGAGGGAGGCTCGAAACAACTGTCAGAGTGTTCAGGAACCGAAGCTGGAGAGTCAGGATCCAACCCTAACATATCGATCCAATCAGCCTCGACAGTAAGCAATATGCCGACTTCCGTGGCACTCTGTATCACCCTCGGCCTATCCCTCATATACATGGCCATGACCCGTCCATCAGCCGCAGCATGATGGAGAAGGATGTCCGGGGGACAATAGGGCAATGGCTTTGGCACCCGGACAGGGCGTCTGTCAATGCGCAAAGCCAGTGCAACAGTGAGCTCTGTCCTTCTACTTTCCAAGTCAGCATTGCGGACAGACAGTGATCGGATCTGATCACGTAAAACAGCAATTGTTCTGGTCTCACCAACCGGTACACGGTTTTCCAAAATGCTACAAAACAACTCGCGGAGCATTAATAGCTCACGAGTCTGGGACCGCCTCAAATCCAGTTCAAAATCGGCATGCCTATTCCCAGGCACTGGGAAGAGGCCCCTATCACGCAGCTGCGCAAGCTCAGTGTCTTTCATTTGTAGGCTCAGATTCAGAGTCCGAACCAATGGAAGGAGCTCGTTGTTCGCGATAACAAACTGCAGCGCTGCTCTGCTCTGTTGAACACGCCTAAGAAGCTCGCGCCCTACCCACTAAAGGTTCATAACCAAAGCCGAGTACATATCGCGGGACATCTCATGAACCACATCTCCGGAGGCGATATAAACAGAGGTGCCACAATGGTAGCGAGGTCACCTGTCACATCAGTATTCGCAACGAAGCTTTTGACCTCATGCTCTGCAACTAACACCCTGCATCTCCATTGGGCAGCATCAACCCGACTGTGAACATCTATCCTCCTCTCTAACCACGAAATCTCGAAGCGAAGGATATCTTTTTCGTGCTCAGCAATAGCAGCCGTTGCATGCTAAATCCCAATGAACTCCTCATCTAAGCGATGCACATCGACATTCTCGTCGAACGGAACGCGGACATGCCCATCTGCAGGGTTTACATGGTTAACCGTAATGTTCTCCCTGGCAATCAACAATGCCCTCAGTGCGTTCATGTCAGCCTCATGGATGGATTGTTGCCTACGCATCTGTTTCTTCAACGCTTTGTTTTCGATTTGTAGGCCTCTCAACACCTGCAGTAAGTCCCGCTGAGACGCTGGGAAACTGGAGTCAGAGTGGAAGGCGATCTGGCACTGCTGCCCGCCCCAGGAGGAGGAATCCCATCAGATATATACGCTGGATTAAGGATCCTCCCAATCGGGAACGAAGGCACCAACGCTCGGCCATTATCCATGGGAACAATGTTAAACCTACGATGGAAACAACACCAAAAAGGAATAATCCGCAATAAGACAACAACGGGGGATCAACAGAGCACAGAACGGGACGAGACATGTATAAGAACTCCCCAAGAACGACAACCACGACACATGCCAGACGAGCAGAGTATATATCCATCAGAGTCGTGACCACGAAGCCAGCGAGAGACATCCAGGAATGAACAAAGAAAACGCATCCCACAGCACTCGGTCGAGACACAAAGGACGGGAAGTCAGCGATAAGGCCAGGGCTCCAAAAGAAGTACACATGGACCACACATGGCGTTGAACAAGCGCATGCCCCAGAAACACGAAAAGGACACAGCTCTGAAGCTGAGCACATAGCGACAAATGAACAACAACAACCTTAGGCACACGTCATTTGTGAACGCCACCAACCGAAAAGGCATCACAAGACCCGCGCAACCTCAAATGCAGACAGACAGGAGCAGAGCTAAACGTACGACATGGCAATCCTCACCACAAATGCAGCAACAGACATCTAGTAATGAACAAACAAAACCCATCTCGCAGCACCACTTGACACACAAAAGACGGGAACTAAGTAATAAGGTCAGGGCTCCAAAGAAGTACATTTGGTCCACACACGGTATTGAACGCCTGCACGAGCAGGACACACCAGAACGACACAGCTGTGAAACTGAGCACATGGCAGCATATCAACAGCAACGACCATTGACACACGTCGTTTCTGAAGGGCACCAACCCAAAAAGGCTTCGCAAAGACCCCCACAACCTCAAGTGCAGGCAAACAGGAACAGAACGAAGCGTACAACATGGCGATGTTGAGCTGGAATGCAGCGAGACACATCTAGTAATGAACAAACAAAACGCATCCCGCAACACACGGTTGACACACAAAAGATGGGAACTCAGTAATAAGGCCAGGGGTCCAAAGAGTTACATTCGGTGCACAGAAGGCATTCAACACCCGGACGACCAGGAAACAGCAAAAGGACACAGCTCTGAAGCTGAACACATACCGGCAAATCAACAACAACAACCTTAGACACATGTCATTTGTGAACGGCACCAACCGAAAAGGCTTCGCAAAGACTCCCGCAAACTCAAATCCAAACAGACAGCAGCACAACGAAGCGTACAACATGGCGATCCACTCCAAATAAAAAGACACGAAACGGAACACACATCCGACCTGAGAACGAAAGCGCACAATAAGTAGAGGCATCCGAACTCGGCAAGGAGAAATCGTGCACAAAGAGGTCAGAGAAGCAGAAGACTTTGAACAAAGAATGACAGCACAGAAAACAATTGTCCACATGGGAACCGAGGCGAAAGATGGTAAACAATACAAAACGTACCTGGAGCCGAAAACAACAGCAGATAACACGGCGCGTAGCCGAGAAAAGATTGAAGCAATGAGGCTGCTAAGTAAACAGCCGGGCCACCGGAACTAAAAAATCTGCGTAGCAGGAACAGAACACGAGGATAACGTGTATCGTCGAACTACGCCGAGCTCGTCAACCATATACACACAACACTTCTACAGCATCCTCATGGTCAACCACAACGGCCCGTCGAAGAGTAAGCACGCCAAGCAGCAAAGAGGAGCTGCCGTCCACGTGCAGGCCACGAAGGACACAAACGAACACAAAAACACGGCAAGACCACCCACGCAAGAGAGCAGAACGCCTCGAAGAGAAGAACAGCGGACACGAAGCCCGACTTGGCGGCCTGCACTAAGGAAGGTAAGAACCCACAACCGAGCAGGGTTACCAGTAATGAAGATGATCGGGAGCGAACAACGCAACAGAAGGAAGCAAGCGGCCACCCGCCGTATTGAAGCCGGCGAACGAAGGACGTAACGACAAAGAGGACGCCTGGGTAACAACGCAAGCAAGCACAATACCTTCGTAACGACGAAGAGGACGCCTGGGTAACAACGCAACCGGGCGCAATAAACCGGCACCGAGCAGGTAACGCGCAACTACAACTGCTACAATGACTATCCGTCCAGTGAACAACTGCATTTATACTCGAGCTCCGCTTGCACGTGACTATCCACCACAGGCACAAATTCACCGTGCCAAGGAGAACAACAAAAATGGTCGATCCTCTAGCGAAGACCGGTATTCAACATACATATATACATATATACATGTATACATACATACACATAGACAACCACAAACATATATATTGTCACAAAATATCAGAGCGCAAATGCGGAAAAAAAGGGAAAAAAAGAAGAAAAGAAAATTGAATTCAATTTTTTATCTTCTTTCTTACAACTCCCCCTGTTCAGAACCTCTTGCGTACAAGGCCGCCCACGTGGATGTAGGTTGAGCGGCGGCTGCCCCCACCCCCGTGTGTCATATCGACCCACTTGCACACAGCCAAAAGGCAAAGAGGCAAAGAAAAGAGGAAGGGAACAGCCAAATACAACAAAACAGGGAGAAACAAACATAAACCAATCCTAGATGACAAGTCCCACATGCAAGCACCGCCCCCACCATCAGGGCCAAACAACGGGACAAGACCAACCAGGATTCAGGACACCCTTGCCTGCAAACAAACAATCCCAGATAACATACCTTTCGTGCGCGCCAGCTCCAAGAATCCTTTGCGATTGATTTTATTGTTGTTKTTGCAAAAATTGGTACCGATTCAAACTGTCAAGTCACCGCTTCGCTGGTCTAAACTAAATTACTGGGACAGCWCCGAYAACAAGAAAAAACATAAAAGACAATCCTAGATGTCGATTCCCACAAAAAAGCACCGCCCCCCGCACAGGCCGAACAACGGGAAACAACCACCTAGAATGCCAAAAAAAATTATAGAAAAAACCCGGCTGACAAGTCCCACATGAAATCTCCGCCACGGGGCTCTAACCGTAAGCCGAACGACCGAACTAAACCAACCGGGGTGCAGAAAAGGGTGCCAAAATCACAGAACAAGGCATAAAAAAGCTCCGGTCCACAGTGTGACAACCAAAAAAGAGGAGAAGACAATCCCGGATGACGATTCCCACATACGAGCACCGCCCCGCGCTCAATGGGCCGAACAACGGGAAACAACCAGGATGCCAAAAACCCGAATGACTGGTCCCACATGAAAGCACCGCCACGCCCATGAGATAGCCCGAAAACAGGACCAGACCAACCGGGAAACAGACAAGATCAGCAAAACAAATTCTACCATAACCATATCCATAGTCAAAAAACGGAACCATACAGTAGGCCCGCAAAACGGAATACCCCAGCAACAGCGAAAAAAGTAAAGGAAAAGAACATATATCGTCAAATAGAACTGCCCGGTAAACCGTAGGCAGAGAGGGAGAAGAGGACAACAAACGAGGGGCTGTGACAAACTGTTTCGTCGGAGTTTCACCGACTCTATACACACACATACACATACCCAGACAGGGGCATGCACGTGCACGGTAAACACAGTCACGTACACATACAAACGCAAACAACCCAGGCAGTTGTTATTTCCTTTTGACATCAGCAACAGCGAGAGAGAGAGAGAAAAAAAACAAAAAAAAACTGACAAATTGCAGAGGTTGGGACAAAGGAACATCTTACCCCAGGCAGCAAGCTCCAGCTGGGCCAGAAGAGATTGCACAGACCGGCGCATATTAAAAAAAGAGCACGGAGAGGACTTTGACCACGGACAGCACCTCAGCTCCAGCGACACACAGCAATAACAACCACGAAGTATATGGAGATGTCGAAGATCCAACCCCTGCCGTAAGATCAGATCTGGATACACACTACAACCGAACGAATCTCACCGCAGCAACGCAAAACGGTGAGCACATTTTTCGGCACCGGGCCAATGTGGCCAATGAGATCGTCAGACGACGAAATTTTTATTTTCTGTTTTTTTTTTTTTTTTTTTTTTTTTACCCGGGGATAATTGTCTAGCCACCATCGGATTCCGGCTTTAATCATTCTTTTGTTACACTCACTGCACCCACCGCAAATGTCAGAAGACCAAATTCTCGTTTTTTTTTTGTTTTTTTTTTTTTTCACTGTAATTGCCAATTCATTTGTTTTCTTTTTCCGTCAATACAAAATCGATTGAAAGATAAGCAGAGGCCCGGGGTCCTGACAATTCGACCTGGAGAGACCTGCTCGCAGCATCAGTCAGTTTACCGTAGAGGATAACTCCTGGCAAGGGATGAATTATCCTCCCTCGAGTCCTATTTTCACCTGCATATAAAACCTCACACAATGCTTCCAAAGAAAAACGGCCCATAACACGATCTTCCTATAACTGGCTGCAGCGTCCCATAGAAGACCAATTGGCTAAAAAGCCTATAACTCCTGGCTTTAAACAAAGATTCATCTGGACAATAAAGGCTAACAACTCAGATCTACTGGACGAGATCAGGCCGAGAACTACAAAATAAGTTCTGTGTCAATGAACCCACCCCAAACGTCAAATGACCAAATTTTTCTTTTCTTTCTTTTTTTCGTTTTTTTTTCCCCGGGAAATTTGTTTAGCAACTATTTGATTTGTTTGTAATCATTCGTTTGTTACAGTCACTGCACGCACCGCAAACGTCAGAACACCAATTTTTTCTTTTCTTTCTTTTTTTTTTCGTTTTTTCCGTGCGATATTTGTTCAGCCACAATCTGATTTTCTTACAGCACCGCAAAGTTCAGCCGCTGGAACGCACGCCAGAGAAAACAACCCAAGCGACGAAAAAGCAGCTCCCTCCAGGCGGGCCAGGGAAAGACCCAAATACATTTAACCCAACCAAGTTTATCTCCCATCAGGACAACCACACCGGAGACGACAGTTTCCGTGGCAGGCAGACGAGCCGCGGAAACTGCCGGGAATTGGACCCCAGGCAAAACAACCCAAGCAGGAAAAAGGACAGCAACATGCCGGCGGGCGAGAAGAACAGACACACCACAACGGAACAGCCCCGAATGTAACAGGCCCACACAGCGACCAAATGCACGCACACTGGTAGGCAGAGAAGCGAGTCCCACAACGACCTCAACGCAAGACGGGCAGGATAAGAAGGGCCAATGCAAGCCCTTCCCAATATCAACATCATGACTCCGGCCTCAGAAAACACCGGACAACACAAAGCTTGACAGCGTGACAATTCAGCGGCAAAGAAGAAAACGGAGTAAAAAATGACTGCGTCACACCACACTAAACAACCAACGTGCACACCTTCGGCAGGAACGCAAGCAGGTAAAGCATCCCGGGCACCCCTGCAAGCAATTTTTTCCCAAGCTCCCGACGCCCAACCGGGAGCAGACAGCACGCCAGGACGAAGAAAAAGTGGCCCACCAGAAAACACGTCAGATGCACCCGCGCCCAAAACCAGACTAAATCCAGCCAGAACGAAAGCAACGATCGGGCCGGGCATTTTTTTTAAGGTCATCATCACATTTCTTACGCGACAGTCACCGCAGGCACCGCAAACTTCAATCATCTGGAATTCGATATGAGCCCAACCAACAAAGAGGACAGTAACCCGTCAGCGGCACGGATGTCGACCATGGCAACGAAGACACACCTTCACCAGGAAAGCGACCAGGTAAAACCGGCGGACCACCCGTCAACCTTTGCAACTTTTTTTTCCCCCCAGGTATCCACGTTCGAGCGAGGGCTGACACCGCATCAGAACAAAGGAAAGCGGGCGCAGCACAAAACGCATCAGATGCACCGGGGCCAAAAGAGCATCCGGCCTCATATCCTGACCACATCAATCGAAAAAGCTACCCAGACCACCCCCCCCCCCCCCCAAAAGAACGCACATGCCCCAGCCAGTCGGGAAATGCATGCACCTGCAACGCCGCTAGACTGCGCATCTTCCCGACAAAGACGACCAGGTAAAACCGGCCGATGACAGATGCACCGGGCCGAAATGCATGCACCTGCAACGCCGCGAGACTACGCACCTTCCCCAGGAAGACGACCAGGTTAAAAACTGCAGGACCACCTGTGAACTTTTGCGACTTTTTTTTTTCCCAGGGATCCCACCACAACCGACGCCAGATACCGCACCGTGACAAATGAAAGCAGGCCAGCAGAAAATACGTCAGATGCACCCGGCCCAAAAAGCACAGCAGATGCAGGCCAACCGAACGACCCACAGGGGCAACTGAATCTAGACAACAAACACCCCCACACCAACGGGCCCGCATCGAAGCATAAATCGCAGAGGACGCCGAACTCGCCATTCCGAACCCTAAACAAACAACGAATGCGGGCCTGAAACCTGACCAGATGCAGGCCGAATGTAGACAAAGAACCCCCACCCCCCCCGCCCTCCCACCTCCCCAACACACGAATGGGCCCGCATCCGAACGCTAAGCAAACCGCAGACGACGCCGAACCTCACCCCAGAGCATCGCGCCCCATATCGAGACCACATCCAGGGCCGGCTGAATCGGGACAAAGAACACCGCCACATCAACGGGCCCGCATCGGAACACTAACCGCAGAGGACGCCTAACCTCGCCCAAGAGCGCCTCATATCGAGACCACATCCCGAGCAACACAAACTGCAAAGGACGCCGAACGTCG